TCATATTCCATTGTACTACACTGGGCAAGGGGAATGCAGAGTTTTGAAAACCCCAGAAAACACAGCTATCTACTCTGTTGAATGTTTTCCCATTACAGAAACTGTCGACAAAAGATTCAGGCGCACAAGATGAGTGTCAGGTATATGCCAGGAATAGAAAATATCAGAATTGAGACTGAAGTTGAGAGGGCTCTCTGAAAGAGGAAGTAGTACAAAAGTGGTGTTGAATTTTCATCTACAACAGCAAACATACACCAGGAGAGCCTGTGTGTAGTATGCCCCTGTCCAGAATACTTCATGATCAGAAAGTCTCAGAAATAACTGAAAGCCACCAGCGTAAGAATTCTCTGATGCATCACAAAAATCTCATGCTTTTTTATTTTATTATTTGGAAAATGAAGAAAGAGATTTTGTGGAAATTTTGTGCCTCTGGAAGCAGGGAAGACACAGGTTCCTTTACTCTCATTTTACTCTTCTTGAAGATTTTTTTACTACATCTTATGAAAGTGATGTAGTAATTCCTCATGTCACAACTGGCATGAATCCTTTTGTTCCTATCTATTATAAGCTGCACTCCTCCACAATTGAGAAATTTAGAATACTGATATTTGCAAGTGTAAAGAACGTGGAATCTCCCGGGAGAGATAAAAGTTGTGTTCTATTAGATCCTGATGATGAATCATTACAAGTAGCAGAAAAAAATTATACACTCCATTAAATTTTCACACATACTGTGTTTTTAATTTAATAAAAAACTATGTAAGGACATATAAAAATATGTTTATTATTTTGGAAGAGAATGAAAACTACTCTTTCAGAAACTAGTTTTGCTAGTTTTATAACATTAGGCATATTTCACTAGGTTTCTAGAATTTTAGGTGCCATACCTTAAGTTAGTAACAATGAACCCTGCAGAGGATACTTGTGTTTATGGTGCTGTTTACTCTAATCTCTGTGGCAAATGAAACACTGGCATAAAAACAGACACATTTGCATTTTTCATCAAATGTGTTGTTGATGTTTAGAAGTAGGTGGGCACTCTTCACATTTAGAAATGATCAGTCGGGTAATTTTAATGGCAAATACATCTCTGTGCGGTCTGCCATTTTCCAGGCAGAGGATTTATCCCTGTCGGCACTGCTGTGAATTTCAGTACATCAGCTGGACAAAACTGAACTCAATCTTTTACCTGCCTTGGGAAATATCCAACGCATTTCTGGTTTTCTCCTAAAACGCAGCTGACTAGGATGCAGTGCACCTTAAATTAACAAGGATTCATGAAAGAATAATTGTTACCACTCCGACCCCCTGACTTTTTTCCACTCTGTACACCTGGTCACATTCCTTTAAGTCCAGCTGTGCCACAAAGAATCGGTGTGTCTGTGTGTGTGAAACAGGACAAGTCTCCTGACAGCTGTGGAAGGACACATGCATCAGAAATTTATTTACATGAAGCTGTTCAGAAGAATTTCTTGCCAAGCTTTCATCATTACATAATAAATACATAATTTTGTTGTCTTGTATGCTTTTGTAAAAAATTGGTTGATATATTCTTCTTTAATTGAATTTCACTTTGTACAAAAACAAAGATAGGTGAGTTGTGCTTAGAAATACATTCTCACAGATATACAAAACCACTTTTAATAATTCACATCAATGCATATTCCATGTATCCTCTGTATCAGGCCTAGGCATAAATCTTAGCCCATATTGACACCAGGCTGCAGCTAAAGCCTTGTCTTTTCCATTGGGTTTCTTTCACAGCTGAATGCTGTGAGTGGTGTGTGCTATTGTCAACATGAGGAGTTCCATGCAGGGAAAGAGAAGAAATGTAGAGGAAGATCATAAAATAAAATTTCTGATGGAACTGAGTTGTTAGGATGGATCTTGCTGTGTAACTGTTATGGATCATTGATCCTAAGGTCAGCAGAAAATGTCTTATCTTGTAGGGCCTCTTTGTCCCTCATTAGCAGAGTTCAGAGTTTAGGAGCTGGAAAAATCCTGAGATTCATTCCAGTTCTAATTGAATTTGAGTTCAGTTTGTTCAGAAATAAGAGTAAATTCTGTCCATGGACATGGGTGCTGGAAAGGGAGCAAAAGGGTGGAAGGATGTTTCTATCATTATTTTGATACTGAAGTACTTGAATTTCCACCTGTTGGTTTTGCTTCTGCATAATATAACAAGGTTTCTTTTTGTCCTTCATCACAAATCATAATATTTTCTTTCCTGACCTATGGGTTGCAGAAAAATACCAGAAAAGGAGCAATGCATCATTTGGGTCCTGCAGTGATACAGAGCAGTATTAATTCTTGATTTATCACCTTTGATTAGATTGGAATTAAAAAAAAAATACAAATAGCTATGAGAAAATGGGATAGGACAAATGAAGGTGTGGGTAGTTGTAGTTTTTCTCTACATTCTTGGCTACAGATATTTAGCATTCTGCCCATAGTTCCAGTCTTTTATCCTGCCTGCCTCCTGTTTCTTGTTTTTCTGGCATTCAGCCTTACTTTGGCTGAGCTGAGAAGAGGCAGCTGGCACAAAGGATTATTTGCATCTTTCTCCAGCTTTGCAGTGACTCAGTGTGGTAGGTAACAGCTATGGAGGTGGAAAAACTTGGGATAAACTAAGATTACAGAGGAAATGCAGAGGAGAGAATAAGTAATTAGATGGAAAGCAAAGTCAGCATGGGCTACACAGATCAATATTTCTGAAAATACACTGTGGGGACAATAACACTCTTCAGACCTTCAGAGAAAGAGACTGATTCTCTGCAAAAGTGTTCCAAAGAATGGTAGAATAGATATGGTGAAGGATAAGGAATTTATCTGAGAAAGAATTCTTAGGTTGGGGGTTTTTTTAGAATTTTTAAATCCTAATTAATAATCATAAAAGCAACAATACAATGATGGTCTTATTTTTCAGTTTATATTTATATTTATTATAAAATTAGTAAATATATTGAATAAATTTGGTAAATATATCTATGTTCAGTAGAGGAAAAATAAATTCTTGACATACATAACAATTTGCAGTATTTTATAATCTGCAGTCTAAAATATTTTTTTGTTTTCATTTCTGGTTTTGTTGGCTTTTAAATGAAGAAAGATATTTTAATGTGCCTACATTAATGATTTGTCTCTTTCTGTCTATGGTTTGCCCCTTACTCTATAAGTAAAAGCATGCATAAATGTTATTTAAACTCTTAAAAGTGTGGAATATCCTAAAGAGCAAGAATTATTACAAAAGTAAATGTTTCAATAATGAAAAAAAATGCACCCACATTTCTGACATTTCTCATATGATTTCTTCCTGAATTATTTATCGGAAGACTTGAAGAGCCTGGAAAGTTTGTTTCTAGTCCTGATTTCACTTATCAAATCACTGCATAAGTTAGAAACATATTTGATTCCCACCTGATTGCTAGTGTCCTTAGTTTTGATTGGGGATGCTTGTTTTGCAGATGGATGACAGAGAAATATTTAAGCAGAAGCAGAAATTCATCCCTTAAGATGACTAAGAATAAGCCTTATCTTAGCATGTTGAAATTGTATGAGAACATAAAAATGCTTCTCTAGGTCAGATCAAATTGTCCACCCAGTTCATTGACAATAAGATAATGCTTAGGGAAGGCACACAAATCCGACCAATACCTGGTGTTCATTTTTCTTATCCTTCTTCACAGACATTGGATTAATGATCTTAACTCTTCCATGTTCATCTTACCCATTTCATTAATGAATTTGAAACCATGATCTCACCTCATTCTTCTTCTCCACAAACAGAGGGGTGCATAGTTGTTTTCATTTCTCTGTTTGAGGAGGTGAGAAGCCCTTCATCATATCAGTTGTTCTCTTTGTGCTTATTCTGTCACCAGAAAAGCCTTTCTGAGATACAGAGAGGTGCAGTACAGGTGCCCCTAAAAAACTGGCACAATTTAAAGCTTTTCAGAGAAAGGTACTGATTCTTCCTCTCTCAGGAGAGGGAAAGAAAGATAGAAAAAATATTATAGTCACTGTACTTAAAGCTAAAATTTGACAGTACTAAATGAGATTTGAGGAAGAGAACATAATAGAGCAGAAATAATTTTTAGTTTGTCACAAAACCTGCAACAAGTGTGATTATGTAGTTATTCTGATTGCAAAAAAGAATAGTTTTCCATGGATAAGCAGTATATGATTACTCATATGAGAACTAAAGCTGCAGATTTTGCGCTTGATCTGAACACCCTCTCCTTCTGTGTTTATGATAACTGCCAGTTATTTTGTCAGAGAAAAATTTGGGATCAGACAGTACCGCAATGACAGAAAGTGTATCTTGTACTTTACTACAGGGTAATAAGAGTCAGACAGAGTATAAATTGTCAGGATATCAAGAAAGGATTTTGGAGTTCAGAAAGACTGTTCTCCTCAGAGACAGAGATGAGCGTTCCTGAGGCTCCAATATCTTCAAGCGATAAGAGTCGGGAAAGGCTCGTACAACTCTCACTGTAATAGATGCTGTTCTGGAACTGTCATTAGAAAGTCATTGACATTCTAGCCTTCCCCTAAGTGTGCCTGATAATTTTAATGAGATCCTAAATAAGTTCTGGCATGAATAAAAGTAACAGGGGTTCACATTACCACATGTGATTCTATTTCTGCAGTCAGTGGCTGAAAAAGCGAATTACACTAATAATTATGTATGCTATTATTTTGTCAAAAAAGAGGAAAAAATCCAAACACTACCCCTCCCCTCCCCTCAAAAACCCCAAATCTGCAACCTGACTGGAAAACACATAAAAAAAACCCAGCTTTTGTGAAGTATTTGACTTCCTGTGATACATGACTGGAAGAAGGAAGCAAAAAATGAGGTTTCTGAGGAATTTCAGAAGGCTTTGCTTTTATTGTTTCCTTGTACAAGTATGACATTTTAAAATTGTTTATAAAAATATGCTTCTTGTATGTAATATCTTCTCTGTATTTTCTTATTTATCAGAAAATCTTATGGATTGGACTACTCTTTCTTCATGACTGAAATTTTCAGCAAGACTTCTGCATTGTTGCAATTCTCTCATGACACATTGACATGTTCCTTGCAGCACGGCATTTAGCATGAGAGTGCTGGGACTCTTGTTAGGTGAAGATGATGTTTGGTCTTGTTATGTGTCAGGAACCATTTTTTTCAGTTTGCTGAATGCATTTTAGCTGTTTTATTTCAGAGGCATGGGTCTTTTGTCTTAGGTAATCTACTGTCTTTTGTGCTTAGATGGGTTTTCTCGGTTTTTACATAAACTTCATATGGTTATTTGCTGACACATTTTGCACAGCCTGAGACAGAGTGTTGTCACTTATTGTTTTAATGTTCTTTTCATCTTCATCTACAATAGGATAAGTTTTGATTTTCTCCTGTACTGAAGAAAATATGGCATAGTACCCTTCTTTTTTTTTTTTTTTTTCTGTAGTTCTTGCAGAGGAAGCAATTATAAATCACACAGGAGGCTGATAGACAAGGAATGAATTTCTCCACCCCACAAAAGTCTAAGGTAAACCACTTTCAGAGCTATGCAAATAGTTTTGATTTGATGTTCCACTCTTGAAAACATGGGTTAGGTTTATGTGCTTGGTAGAAAGAAATTCTCTTCCAAAGTGAAGTGGACAGGGAAAATAAAGAGCTGCTCTTGAGACACGATATCCTTCATGTAAAGCTGTTCACAGCAATAAAAGAATAATTCTTTTTCTTGGAGATTTGTAGCACAGTAAAAAAGGTGGGTACACCAGAGATGGAATGCACCCAATTGTTCAGTCAGTAGATTCTTGGTACAAAATATCTCTGGGTGCAAGTACTACTAAAAGGCACAGAGGGCTCATACTCATACTTCTTGTGCACTGACAAATTAGTGGCACAACTGCTACTACTACAAATTATTACAGATCTGGAAACAAATCATATCTTTGCAGTAGAGATGTGGGAAAAGAAGATCTAAATTCCTGTTCCTGCCTTTTTTTTTTCTTTTTGGCTTCCTTTAAATATACATTTTCCACAATTTTAACTTCTATTTAGTGACCTATAACCTCATCTGTTTTCAAGGGCACTTCAATTTAAGAGCAGCAGTAACAGCAACAGGAATAGCAGAAGTAGCAGCAGCAGGGATTCTAACTGTGTAGCTATGAGAAGTATTTCAGTAATGAAAGGGAAAATTTTGGCTCCCTGCCTCTGCTGTAATTGAAAATCTAGGATAGTGCCTTTTTCATTTAACTTTATTGCTTGAGTTCAAATTGTTGTATAGAAGGGAAAGCCACACTAGAAAAATGTCTCTACTAGCGCTTTCCTGTACATTCACCAGTTTGAAACATAGCATTAAAGTTAAAAGGAAGAGCAATTAGACATATTCAATTATTAAAGGGGGAAAAAACTAGAATAATAAATTTCAGTAATGAAAAAGGACTGCTTACCAAATATTTACTTACTAGTTGTTATTACCAGGTTATCACCAGGGAGCTGGGGAATAAGCACCATGGTAAAACAATTGTCCAGGTAATTTATGCTGAATAAAATAGAAAACTTTTTCACTATTTACTGCAATTACTTGTAAATTAATGGTGTTCCACCATTAAATTAAAGGTGTTCCACCCACTGACAAGGCATAACCTTAAATCTGCAGAGTGTTGAAGTATTTTCACATTCTAATTCTCAATTGCCCATGAAGTTATATAGTACTCAACAACTATTCTTATATGTTTTATATGTTTTTCACATTTTATATGTTTATGCATTTGAATATATTTTTCAAACTTTTTTTTCCTGCTGATCTGATATCTAAGTCTCTACGACAGCATACATGTGAAGAGAAATACAATGGGATTAACTATTCTAAATACATTTCAAATATTATGTTCATAATTTGCAGGCTTTTGCATCACTGTGGGGAAGAAAAAAGAAATTTGAAAATAGGTAATAATTATGAATTTTAGAACTATGATTATTGTCTTATAAGAAACTGTAGACCCACAATGCTCAGTCGTCCTCCTGTCTTGGCATGGGATCAGCTGGCTTCTGTTTTCAGAGTAAAACTCATGAAGATATTCTGCAGTGATAAATCTATTAAGTCTAGCTTTATCTCTAACAATACTTATATTATTGTATTTCAAGTAAAATTAAAGGAGATACTATGGATTTACCTCCTTTAAAATTAGAGCAAAATTTTTCTTTGCACTTAATTCATGGGTGTGGAGGGGGGGGTACTCAATATTTTACAGCAAAATTCAAAATAAGAAATGCAGGGAAAAGAATCTTCAAGTACAAGAAATTTTAAAAAAAGCTATAAACAATCATATTCATCCTCTCCTGCCTTCATGAAAAGTGGCCATGTCCTGTGTGTTTTTCATTTTTGTATATTTTATTAGCTGCTCAGGACTATTAAACTATTTTTAATAGGTGGATATTTCTAATATGTATAAAGGGATGGAGACTCATTTGGGCTTTCCATTCTATATCAGTTAAAGGTTTTTTGCGTCAATACATGTCTAATTCGTGTCCTGTGAGGGTCAGGCATCTTATGCTAGTGTTAAAGAACTGCCATGGAAACATAGAAGCAAAGACAAAAGAGGAGAACAAACTGAATATCTGTGATGTTATGTGATGGAGAAGATCTCTGACCAAGCTGCGATTGTGGGGATTTCATTGCTCTGTAGTCATTACATTAATCAAAGCTAGAGGTGAATTTAGATTGGGTAGAAACAGAAAAGAGGAGTTGGCATTATTAACCAATAACTGTGTGAGGTCCAACTGATCTGCATAATGTGAGTCCTTGGACAAAATGTTTATTTATATTTAACATTTTGGTTATCCATACATATACTATAATAAAAGATTTTATATTCTTATGAGCTATTTTGTCTCTGTTCACAACTTTGTGCAAATAGTTCCAGTTAAATAATCCAGTTCTACTTGGATTACACTTTGATGTGCATGTGAAAGCATTTCCATGTCATTATTTAACATCAAAGACAATGGTACCTGTCTCAGAGCAACTGCTTCCTAACCTTACTCAGCAGAGCACACAGAATTTCAAATTATTAGACAAATACACACAGTTTACCCCAAGTCATATCTCTTTCCTAATCATCCTAAAAGATTCAGTAATAGTGCAAAAAAAAAGGTTGTAGTTGCATTTTTTGTATACTTGCTCAGCTCTGTTATGTTAAGGAAGTTGGTAAAGAATGGCATCAAAATTAACCTTACTAAAGAACAAGTGCTCTGCTGCCATAGATCATAAAAATGGGGTGAGACTTTTGACACAGCTTGTCATTTCCACCCTAAATGTCCTAGAAACCTAGTTAATTGAAATTCATGAGGAATTTTACTGCCTATGGCATTGGGGTTGGAACTAGATTAACTTCAAGGTCCTGTCCAACCCAAACCATTCTGTGATTCTATGATCTTATTATAATTTTTTCAAGTTCCTTCTAGGCAGATCAAATTAAATAATTTCCATTGCCATTAGAAGGTAACATCTTGCTTCTACTGTGCTGCTCAGTAAAGAATATTCCTTGCAGTGTCCATAAAGAGAGATATGAGAGATAAAATCTGAATTTTATTTGCTTTATTTGCTGTTTTGGCTCCAGCACAGTATATACATGTGAGGAAGATTTGTTTTCTCTTCACTATATTTTTTCAGGTAAGATTTAGAGGCTATAAGTGTTTTGTCCAATTGAATGACTATAGGGAAAGTATAAAATTGAAATTATTTAAATTTGTTTGAAAAAAGATTCAGATTTCCTGGATATCCCCAATTACCATTAAATCTGAAAAAAACAGAAAATTATGACAGTATAATTAAAATAGGGGACCTGAGACATGGTTTAATTTCAGGAGAATAAAAATATTCTCAGTTCTGAAAAGCAAGCAGAAATGAGCAAATAGTAGAAACGTATCCTGAGTATTCATTAAAAATTGGAACTGTTGGGAAGCCTTAGATTTCCTTCCACAGTGGAATGCTAAATCTCTGTCAATAAGGGAAACAAGGTGAAAATTAAAATCAATAATGGAATTATAGCACTCATGCTATCATATAGGAAGAAATTTCGTAATACAGAAACGTAAGTTTTGCATATGTACTGAACACAGCATTTGCATATCAGATTTGGTGAGCAGTTTGATGTTAGGCTATCTGTGAGGCACATGAGGTTTGCCCCACCACCACCCCTAACAGGGAAACAGAGACTGTTTTGCAGCTATCAGAAGTGTCATAGGTATTTTTAACTGCAAAGAATGCATATTCTGTGTTCTTGATAATATTCTGGGAATGGTGTAGGAAGGTTCTATTAGGAAAAAGTGGTGAAATTGTACTCAATGCAGACTGAAATTAGAAGAAAATATTCTTGATAAAAAGGTGGAGAAAGTAATTATTTTCTAGGACAAACTGAAAGAGTGGAATTGTATTTGGAATTATGATTGTGTGCACACTGCACACTGGGACAAAGCAAGATTGGACATATTCATACACTACAAGGAATGGATTTATTCCAAGATGAGGACTGAATTTCAGATAGGTTACTCTTTTAAAGGAATGATCTTTTCTTTCGTATTCTATCACTTCAACTTCTGGACATGTAGTTGCAGTCTTGGTGAGAGCAGCACAGTTGAAATGCACATAATAATAGGCATATTTTCTTTATTCAGCAAGATATAGAGGTCAGAAATGGTGTTTATGCTGGATGGATGCTTACAAACTTAAGCTTTTCCTAATAGAACATTTTTGACAGCCGAGATTGGTTCAGTTCCATGACATTCAGAAATGCATCAGTACATGTCATATTCTTCACAGCAGGATACTTTATGATTACGTACTGTAAATTACTCTGCAAACACATAGGTATAAAATAATTCTAAAATATTAGGAATGAAGAAACAGAAATCCAATTAAAGAATTTTGTGACCATAAAATACAACAATATTTTATCTAGGGTAAAAAAGACTGTAAAAAAAGAAAAAAAAAAAAGGAAATTATGCCTCTGCTAATGATTTTATTTGTTCAAGTGAAAATCAGTCTTACAAATAAAAATTAGCATTATTTCATCAGGAACCTCACATATAGTATGAATATAATCATGAATACAATTAAAATTTTATTTTAAGAGAAGTACATTTTCAGAGGCTTTTGTCTCTTCTGATATAATCAAGATGAACCTGAGGGTACTCTGCTTTCTTTGAGTTTGTAAAGCTTATGTCTTCAGCTTTGTGAAATGTGCAGTGTGTGATGGGATTACTGTACAGTGTTTGTCAGTAAGGTATAGTGGTCTTAGGAATGGCTAATTCTGCCAAGAATTCTCTGAGGTGATTAATTGCTACTCCTTATTTCAGTAAGTGACTAATTTATGATGCCAGAGATTTACTGCCTGATGATTAGCATGTGACAAAGTGATTCCAAACTGTAAGAAGTTACTTGAACTTCAGCGAGGCTGGAGTAATTACAGTGTTATATGAGTGGAATTTCAATGGAAACAGTATGGATACACCCAGGGAAACGTAAAGTGCTCTTTTTTTTTCTCAGTATAAGATGTTGGTGCTGTACCTGAGTGTATCTGCAAAGAAATAATGATGAATTTGATATAAAGATTTAATTTATTTATTTTGTTTGAATTCAATAGATATTTGGATAAAAGAATAATACATTACTTATCAGCTTTCTAAAAGTACATACTACAAGGAAAAATCATCTCTTAATTTAGAAAAATGTGGTTGAAAAATTGAAAGAAAACCTATATCCAACAGTTGCTACTCAAGTCTCTTGAAATGGAGACTGGAACAGAATGTTAGTGTCAGGTAAAAAGAGAAATTTTCTTGTCTCAGCCACATGATCAGCTTAAAAAACAAGAGCTTCTATTAAGCAACAGTTTTTACTTATTTACTTACATTTATACAGTCTTTCAGCTAATGCCCAGTAGATAAATTTGATCATATACCCACTTTTGTGTTTTACAGTCCTGTCTTGCTCTTTGACTTGGGACTTGAGAAAAATAGATAGCATGCAACCAATTTTTGTCTATCTCAGTTCATTCAAGTCACATTTCCAAATGTTTTTTTTTGGTTTTTTTTTTTTTCTATAACAACAAAGGACAGAAATTTTTGTTTAATGGGTGAACAAATTTATAAACATGCATTGGAGAATGCCCATTATCTAAATTATTTTTCATTCTTTCACCTACAGAGACAGTGCTGTGAAGAGACAAAACAGAATTTCACATCTTGAGCTAAATACTGCAAGATTTGGGACAGAATCAGAAGACCCAGAAAAAGTTTCTGTTTTTATGGAAATCAAAATTGTGGTAACAAGAATTCTTCTGGAAATGTGGTCCTTTCATTACTCTTGTAAGATAAACAGAAAAGACATGCATCCAAAAAAATGAATTGATCTTCAACATATGCCCTTTGAAGTTATTGTGATGAACCATTAATAGAGTTCCTCACAGAGAATCTACTTTTGATCAGCAGTAGTATATGTCAGGGATTTGTCCTCAAAAACAGATTCCACCATAGAACACCTGTCCAGACCCTTCTATGAATATAGTTTCTCTATACCAAGGATAAATCAACAACCTCCACATGAATTTGAAACTAATACTAAAGTGTGCTATTAAAGTAATGTCTCTGATAATGAACTTTTAATGGCTCAAGAGACCTCTTTATTAAACTTTGTAATAAATCAACCAACTTTATATAAGGATCAGATTAGAGATATTCATACTGGCCAAAGTTTAAACAAACCTCTGTGTTGTTAGTATTTTTAGTTTACATCTTAAATGAGGTGTAACATCATCAGAATTGCTGGTTTCACTTCCCTCTATTTGACTACACAGGACTTGAGTTTCCTTAGATGTATTTGCAGTCATCTCATATGTAAAAATTAGAGAAGCATATTAATTTAGAAGTCAAAAATCATAAAATTTCCTGCTTAATACAAAACAATTTGCACACAGATAAGATATTTCCATGGACCATTCTAATGCAAGCATATTATCACCTATCAGAACATTAGAATTGTTTCTAATAACAATTTTTTTAAAATTTAACAAACTTCATGCCAGCATCCTAAAATCAGAGGTTAGCAATCTAATGTTTCTCTTTGCAACCAGAAAGTGTTGAAAGTGTTTTGCTTCACTTTTTGTAACTCAAACGCTGGTTTTTAGGTTACATTAATAATGGTTATTTTTGTTCACTTTTTCTGTGGGACTATAAGTAGAATCTTAGTATAGAAGGCTCTTTTTCTTCCCTGGTGACAATCAATGCAAATACACATGGGAAAATTCTTCTAAAATCACTGTAGATAAGGGAGGATAATGTTTCAGGAAGAAATGACTATTAGCAGGTACAAAGCTTTGATGAAGAACAGCAAGTGAGAATATTAAACTAACGGGAAGAACTGATTCAATCTTATCAGGACATTTTTGCTTCTTTAATTTGAATTCAGAACTTGTTTTTTCCAAGAGACTAAATTTCATTTATCTAATTTTCTTTATAGGTTTTTCTTTCTGTTTTGTTTTGGGGTGTTTTTGTCTCTTTTTTTTTGTTGTTGTTGTGGGGGTGGGGGGGGTGGCAGGGGGAGGTTCATGTTCCTTTCAGGAAATTAACTTAAGAAAGGGGAAAAAAATTAGGAAAAAAGATGTAGTAATGTCAGCAAGAAATTATTGTCATTAAAGGCTAGAGGAAAGCAGAGGGAAAACTAAATATCAGAACATTGTATAATGTTCTGTAATAGTGTCCAAATGTGGATAAATTGGTGCCTACATGATTACTTGCACCCTCACAACTGTAAAAGGGGAAAATGGTCTTATTGAAATTCAGCTGGTAAAGTAACTTTAACCCACCAGTACTAAAAGGCCACAACATGAGTAGTTGTAGTCCTGCCATGCACCTACCTCCAGCACAGATAGGGGGATATAATATAAAAAACCACTTTAGATCCTAAAAAGAAATCACATATTTTTGGAAAGAAATCTATAATTTATTCATTGATGAGGATAGATACTAATGAAGGTATTTTTCTGGCCTTTTTCCTATGTTTGCCTTTTCCAGTCTGTTTCCTAGTGCGCAATTAATGCATTGCAATAGCTGGAGCTGCACTGAATGTCTGAGTCAGGGCCCAAAGGAGGAGTTTCAGCTGCCATTATCTTCACATGTAACATGTTAGCTGACCTAATGACATTCTTAAAGATCTTACCCCAAATATCAATATTTCTCTTTCACAAACACAATATTGGCTGCTTGGATTTAATGCGGCAGTGATGAAAAACAAAAAAAAATTTAAGAAAATGTTATTCTGGCTTTTAGTCTTTTTATTCAACTGTGTCTTCACAAGAATATGTCTAAGAAAGTAAGATGAAGTCAAAAGCTCATGTAATAATCACATTTAACACATATATGATTGTCATAGTTCTGAATTATTATTGAAATTTTCACGCAAATTCTTTTTACCTTTTAGACTTCTATTATTAATATTCTGTATGACTGCCTAGAGGAAAAAATTCATATAGATATATATAGGAGAAAAAATCAAATCTTTCACAAACCATTTTGTTCATTTCTGGGAGGGGATAGGTGTTCTGACCCTAGAACAAATTGAAATTACTAAGTTTTAACTTCAACATCCTCTGAGGACTCAGATGTTCCAGCACCATAAAATGAAGCTGCCAGGAATTCAGATTTATGGAACTTGTTCTAATGTATAGAGTGAATAAGCTAATATGTTAGCATGTTATGTTTATAAAATTGATCTCAATGTCCTTGTTTTTAAAATAAAGGAAAAAGCTTAAAAGGAGCAAAATAAGTTAGTTTGTTTGTTTCTTTATTTTGATATAGCAGTCAGTAAAAAAATCTGCGTATTCCAAACAAATTAGGTTTGAACATAGACCTGAAATTTGTTTTCCTTGCAGCAGCAGCATACAATACTCTGCAAGAGAAGACTAAATAAGGAAAAATTTACTCCAGTAGGGATGTTCTGGTAGCTGACACAGATAAAGAGAGAAGGGCACTTTAACTCATGATGGCAGCTGACAAAGGGGAGGCAACCCTGACATGATAAGCCTGCTGGCTTCCTCCATGCTGATCAGAGAGTATTGTGTCTGCTTGGGACACCCTGACTGCGCCTGCCCTTCAGAAAACAAGGTCCTTAGCAGGTGAGTGCTTTAGAGGCAAAGCCATTAGCTCAACTCCTTCTCAAGTCCTTGGAGAAACCTAACTCCAACTCAAAATCTGAGAGTGCAGGTGCTCTGGAGAGGTGCACTCTATAACAACAATACCACAGTTCTTCTGCTGAATAGATGTCCTTCAGTTTAGGGTGCATAATAAAAATCCCTGTTAATACATAGATTATAATGTAGAATGATCCAGCATATCCATAACACTAAATGTGGTCATTAACTTAATCCTTAACATTTCTTTTCGCTTAGCAATGTCATTTGCACTTTATTACAAGTGCATACATGTACACATACACAGTGTAATAAATCTACCAAGTTCTGCTATATTACGGACTCATACAATGTTTAGGCAAAAACTATTGAAAGTGAAAAAGGGTAATAAAGATATGGCTTTCAGATCATGCTAAAGCAGTTTTCATAGTTGCCAACAGTGTTCATACACAGCAAAATCTCAAATTTTCCCACCCTCCTAAAAGAACAAACACAGACCTACAAGACAAAGGAGCAGCAGAAGATATTTTCTCCACACAGTACTAGGGCTTACAAAGGCAATACTGACAGAAATGTGCTCCCTGAAATAATGTGAAATTTGAATTAGCATGGGACTTTATGGATGATTTCTCAGATCCTGATCCATGCTGGGGATAGTGGGAAAAAGGGGAGGGGTCACAATTTGAATTGTGGAAAAGATTTTAGATTCCTGTGGAAAGTAAATAGGTGCAAATTAGGTAGATTTTAGTGGACACTGGCTTTCACACCATATGGTCCAGTGCAACAAGTGTAATTGCCTGCTGACTTTGGGCATGCAATTAGAAACAATGAATTGTAGTGGAGTTTGAGAACTGATAGGCATCAGCACAAGTTTCAGTCAGTGAGCCTCAGATCTTGCTAAAGCCAATCCCAGCAAGGGGTTTTAAAACTGCCTGTGGCATTTTCAAATCAATCTATCAGTCTGTAGGTAGCAGTGTAAAGAATGCACAGCCAGCACAATACCTGTTCCAAGCAGTGACAACCCTGCTAGTGCATTCTGAGCAAGCCACAAGCAATTCAAAAGCCCTGAGAGGAAAGAATCACAATAAATGAGTCTCTGTTCCCAAGAGATTGAAACATCATTACAAGGATCAGGAAAAAGCAGTGTCACTTGAACAAGGAATAATATATTATAAAATTAGGTGCTTGGAAAGAATGCTTTTGCATGCAGATTGCCCCAGCTTATTGCAGCATTAGTCTTTCTAATAACATTTCTTCTTTTTTTTTTCATTGAATCTAAAGCCTACTTTCTTCATTGTTGTAATTTTTTTCTCATATTTATTCAGAGAAAAATTGCAACATTTCAGGTCAAACTTAAATTAATCCTATAAGGCTTGACCCATCAATGAAAATGTTCTCTTCTGTGCAGAGCAAAGAAACCTGGTGCAGGTAAACAGCAGCTAGTTCCTAGTGAGGTTATTATAGTGTGCTCTGGAAGAACATTGAAACACAGGTTTAGAGTCAGATTTTAGTGACAGCATTAAAACAACCAGCTCCCATTGGCAATGGTGCTTTCCCATGAAGTAATATCTGTAGGTGAACTCAAAAGTGAGCTGTCATTTCTGGAAGATTGGTATGATGTTCAACTGGCAGTGAAACAAACAGGTAGTGAAAGACAAGACTTGCACAAAGGATTCTCAGAATGTCAGTGGTTGAAAATAGCCATATTTGCCATATTTCTCTGTATACCTGCATTTCCTGGAGTCCGTTGGCAGAGACACAATTTGTTTCTGTTCTATGAGTGGTCGTTTGGTTGATTGTTTCCAGTACATTTGGAAATCTTATCTTCCGATCATCAAGTACACAAACAGCCAATCCAAAATCAGCCTTTTTCCCCCCTAGGTAAAACCCAAACAAAATTGAGAATATTTGTTTTGAAAGTGTTTTTGGAATGGTGTTTAACTCAACATTTTTTGTTCTTGAAGGTCAGCTCCTACCTAGGTGCACAGTGATTAGCACAATGATAAATAAAATTTTAAACTTAAAAACTTCTTATAGTAAGGAAAATACAACAATAAAGAAAGTGTATTTCCTTACACTAGCTCTATATTAAATATTCACAACTAAAATAGAATTTTATGAGCCCTTGTTAGTCATGCTCATCAGAATTGTGGTTAATGAGATCTAAATCAAGTCTTACTTCTCATTTTCCATGATTGGCTTGAGTTTAGACTGGCAATTATCAAGCTACAGAATATTTTTGTTTTATTTACTGCTCTAGATTATTTGCTGGCAGAAGTGTTAAGGCAAATAATTAAGCCAGACTAAAGGTAAGAAGAACTATGTGGATGGAAGTGCAAGAATGTAAATTCATCTCTCCAACTTGACCATTCCTGAAAATTTTATTTGGAGAAATATCAGAAAATAACAGTGAATGGGTTATCACTAAAACTGCTAAGGGAAAAAAAAGACTAGAATTTAATTCCACCTTATCTGGTGTAAAACCCACATAGCATTAGGAAAAGAATGGACTAATATACCAGAAAACAGGAAAGTGTATTTATTTTTTCCCATTATATGCATATATATATATATATATACACACACACACACACACATATATACCTATGTCACTATTTAATTCTTTCACATAACCTTTTATTTCTGCATGTATCAAGGGAGTCTTGAGGATGCTTGGATTCCTGCTTGCATGCAAATCTATTTATCTGAAAGCCTCTTTGCTGAACGCTGTTTAGCTTAGATTCTTTTGCAGATTATATACACCTCACATTCTTGGTAAACTTGGTTGTTTTATGTTACACTGTATTACCTGTGAGATAAAATTTTTAGACAAACCCAACACATTTGGATTTGTCGGAGTTTCCTTTGTTTTTGGGATTGTTGCCTTGGTTTGGTTTTTAATATTTCAGTGTTTCCTTTTTAGTCCCACACACCTTATCTTCTTTTCCATATTGATTTTTGCTACTGAGATTCTTGCAGTCCAGAGTGCTAGGGCTTTATCCTTGGAAATCATGTTTTGTATGGTCATGTGTTCAGTATATGGCTTCAGATAAGTTCCCATGAGATTACTGCAACATGAGATCTAACCTAAATCAAAAGTAATAATGAACAAATACTTTCTTAAATATAGACTTGAAATTTCTCCTAGTTTTTGCAATCTATGTTTTTTCAATCTATGAAATATGTTGTTACCTCATCCAGTTCTACTGCCCTCTGTTCCAAAAGTAAATTGTGTGTAATTCCATTACAGGAATATAGTTGTAGTGACAACCCAGAATGATTTTTTTATACCAGAGCAGCTTATATAAGGTAACAATTAGAAGTAAGTTAAAGAAGGAAAGAAGAGGTA